ATTGATGATAGATGAATCCTTTATTTTTTTTAAAATAAAAATTTTATTGATAATTAAGATAAAAAGATATTTATATTAGATTATAAAATATATGATTAGCTATTTTACTAAAGGAAGTGTATTATTGGGAATCATAAATTTAATTGTAGCATTTAGAAACTAAGTAGAATTTGAAGATATTTATGGCTAAGCTTATTGTTTACAAGGTTATGGTTCTCATTTCTTTTTTCCAATTTATCCATATTATTGCATAAGTAAAAATTTGTTTTTTTTCTTAAGGTATTTCATCTGTGTGTGATGGTGTGACAATACCTACTTTAAAGAATCCAAGTCTAAGTTCGTATTATGATACTTTTTGTCATCCAGATGTCTAACTTGGATCTCAAACAATTATTAAATAAATTTCTAAATTTTTGAGATTTGTTAGCTGTGGGAATGAATTTGGTTAATTAGTAATGACAGTGAAAGAGGATGGTAAGTATTTTTTTGAATGTCAATGTAAAATTTAATGAAAAATTTAATATTAGATGAAACTACTGAAGATAAAATTAGATGCTACTATGCTTAAATAATTTAAGGAATATACAAATGTTTATATTGTCACGATTATTATTATGGAGAAAATTGTGAAAACAAAAATTATAGTTCAATAAGTTTATAATCAAGTATGTAATAATTTAAAGAAAGAATGCGAATAAAAAAATCCAGATGGTAGCTGTTTAATGTGTTATCCAGGGAATGGAAAACGATCTTACTATGATAAAGATTGTTTGTAAAGTAAGTTATTCTAATATTTATAGAATGTTTCCCTTACACTTAATGTTACGTAGATAATTATGAAATAATATATTAATTACCATGTTAAGAAGATGGAGCAATTTAATTAGGTACTAGATGCGTTTGTAATAAATAAATGAAATTTAAGCATGTAATATAACGAAATGTTCTAAATGTGAATTAGATGAGATAAGTTAAATAGAAATATGTTTGAAATGTAGATACCCTTTTGTATTAATAAACAATAAATGTTTGGGAGATTATAATTGTTTGAGATATGAAAATGTTCTGGATGGAACAGGAAATCTTATAAATATCTCATGTATAGAATGTTTATATGGCTATTTTTGGGATACTGTATTTAATAAATGTTCAAGTAATTGAATGGTTATATTAGAATAGGTTGCGGTTTAAGAAAGAGTTGTCCAATATGTAATGCCTCTGGATGTCTATATTGTCGACCTGGATTAGTTTTATTAAATTAAAAATGTGAAACTCTTATTTGTGGGATAAAGCATTGTTTATTTTGTTAATTAGATGATCCAAATGAATGTACAGTTTGTAATTTTGGAATTCATAAATTTAAAGTAAGTACTGGTGAATGTGAATGCAATATTAATGATAATAAAGGAGACTATTATGGTTCTTGTTAAACTTGTGTTATATTATATTGTGCATAATGTAATCCTACTCCCTACTCTTGTACCTATTGTGATGACTTTATTGCTAGAAAGTTAATAGGAAATTCTTGTGTTTGTAAACCCTTATATTATGAATACTATGATGTAACAGCAACAGATGGTAGACCATTAAAATGCAGATGTTTAAATATTATATTATTATTTCAGCATGTCATCAAACTTGTTATAACTGTTAAGGATCTACAGCTAATGATTGTATAGGTTGTGGAAATCCTAGTTTAATTCATCGTTATTTAACAGCTAAAGGAGAATGTCTTTGTATTAATGGATATGGAAATAAACTGGCTTACTTTTCATAATAAAATGCTATACTTCCAGAACTTGAATGTGTTAGTATTATTTTAATATTTCTAATTTACAGCATGTCATAATAAATGTGCTTAATGTTTTCGATCTGTACCTGGTACATCATTAGAATATTGTACAAAATGTCATGAAGGATAAAATAGAGAACTTTCAGATGATCTTGACTGTGTATGTTAAGAAAACTATAGTGATGATGCATTATATGATATCTGTTACAGTAATCATTTTTTAGATATTCATTTAAGAATGCTATTATACATGTGCATAATGTTACGGAATCTTATCAACCAATTGTGTGAGATGTTCAACTTAATCTCATAGATATTTATCAACAAATAAAGAGTGTTTATGTTCTGATTAATATTATGATGATAATCTTAATATGGAATGTCTAAGTAAAATCAATTTATATTCATAAATTAGAATGTCATTATACATGTTTAAATTGTTTATCAGATCCTTCACCAGATAAATGTACAGAATGTCCTTCTACGAGAATATCTATCAACGTTGGTTCTACATTTCTATGTTATTGTTAACAAATTGGCTATTACGATTTAGATGGAAGTATGGAATGTTAACCTTGTCATTATTCTTGTCTAACTTGTGATGGATCAGAAATTTATAATTGTTTGAGTTGTGATACAAATTATAGAGAATTTGATTCAGTTTAATGCAATTGTCCTATAGGATTTTATGATATTGGAAATCTACAATGTGAATGTAATATCATATCTATCATTAGAATGTCATCACTCTTGCTATTCTTGTGACAATATCAATTATAATAATTGTCTAGAATGCTCTTTAGATTTATAATACAGAATATAAATTGAATCTACTTGTATATGTATACAAGGTTATTATGATATTATTGGAACATCTATTTGTGGAAGTGAGATATTATTATCAAATATTTTTTAGAATGCTCTTATAAATGCTTAAGTTGTTAGGATACTTATGATCATTGTTTAAGTTGTCCACTTAATTCAGGAAGATAATTAGAATCTAATAATCTATGTTCTTGCACTAGTGAATATTATGATCAAATTGATAATCCTATTTGCAAATGTATTTTTACTATTTATTAGTGTGTCATTTTAAATGCTATTCTTGTACTGATTAAACTGAATAATCATGCTCTTCATGTAATCCAAATAAATTTAGAACACTTTCTAATAATTAATGCATTTGCATGAATGGCTACTTTGAAAAAGAAGTCTAAGAATGTTAAAGTATTTCTCATTTTGATTAATTCTAAGAATGCAGTTCATAATGTTAGTTATGTATTGATGAATATGATTATTGTACAGCATGTTTAAATGACAGATATCTAGATGGAAATAAATGTTTATGCAAAACCAAATGGTAAGGATATAAAATAAGTACTTATGAGTTAAGAGGAATCCTTAAATGTTAAGGTACTTATAATTAACTATTTTTTAAGTTTGTCATTATACATGTTTAACTTGTTCTAAAAGTTCAGCTCCAGATTAATGTTTATCATGTTTTGATTCTGATAATCGAATTCAAATCGGATCTACCTGCATTTGTAAAGATGGATATTTTGAAGTCGGTAAATCAGTTTGTTAAAGTAATCTTATTATTTGAAATATATTTTCAAGAATGCAGCATCTAATGTAAACTCTGTATAACCAAAGATGATAAATGTATTGGATGTGAAGATAACACTCTTAGAGTCTTAAATTCAATTCTCCATAAATGTTTATGTCCTATTGGATATTTTGATGATGGATAAATCAGTGTATGTTAATGTAATTTATATATCATATTTAGAATGCCATTATACTTGTTAAACCTGCTCTAAACTTAGTACTCTATGCAATGATTGTTCAATCTAATCACATCGTTAACTTAATGATTTACTATTCACTTGTTCTTGTAATTTAGGATACTTTGATTCAGGTATTTAGTAATGTCAATTATGTCATTACTCTTGCCTAGGTTGTGCAAATTCTTTCTAAAATTGTTTGAGTTGTACAGTTTAAATAGTTTCAAAAAGAGTTTTGTATTAAAATCAATGCATTTGTATAAGTGGATATTATGATGATGGATTTTCCAAGAATTGCTAGTAATGTAATTATGAATGTTTAACTTGTACAATATAATCCTATTAATGTACTTCTTGTCCTTAGACCAGAAACATAAACTAGAATTGTGCATGTTCAAATGGTTATTATGATATCGGATATGCTACTTGTTCAAAATGTGATGCTAACTGTTTTAAATGTGCTAAATTTGCTACCAAATGTATTGAATGCAACTCTTTAGATAATAGAACTTTAAATATTACATTAAATAATTGTGAATGCAAACTTGGTTATTATGAATTGAATGGAATATGCTATTAATGTGATCAAACTTGCTAAACTTGTATTGATTAATCTGATAACTGCAAATCTTGTCCTTCAAATAGAATTTTAATTGGATCAACTTGTAAATGTAGTGATGATTATTATGAAAATAAGTCTGATAAATTATGTTATCTTTGTCATAAGAGTTGCCAAACATGTATCAATACTTCAACAGAATGTTTATCTTGTTTCATTGATGACTTTAGAATATTAAAATAAGGATAAAAATGTGAATGTATAGATGGTTATTATGAAAATCTAACAAATCTAAATTGTTTGAAATGTGATTATACATGTTTAACATGTTAATATAATGCTTATCATTGTACATCCTGTGATTCTAGTCTACATTATGATATCCATATTAATTAATGTCTTTGTACCACTTAATATTACTATGATATCACAACGAAATTATGTTAATGTAATTCAATTTTATTAGTATAGAATGTCATTTTACTTGTTTATAATGTCGTACTCAAAACGAATGCACTACTTGTAATACACTTACTAGATAATTAGATAATTATTCAATGGAATGCTTATGTAAAATTGGATATTTTGAAATCAATTCTGAATATTGTCAATGTATATTTAATATTTTATCTTAAGAATGCCATTACTCTTGCTATACTTGCTTATTATCATCTACTAATTGTTAAACATGCAGTTAATTACATCATAGATCACTTTATAATAATTCATGTTAATGTCTTCAAGGTTACTATGATCTTGGTGTTTTAATGTGTTAAAAATGCAATGATTTGTGTTAAACTTGTTAGATTTTATCTACTAAATGCACATCATGTTATTAAATAGATTAACATAGAATATTATAAGGAGATTAATGTATATGTTAAACTGGATATTTCTCTACTGGATCTTTGATTTGTCAAAGTAATATAAAATATATATTATATTTTAGAATGCTCTAATTCTTGTCTAACTTGTGAAATAATGCCAAACTCTTGTACAAGTTGTGATTTGAGTTCAAAAAGATATGATCGATCCATATAAAGGAAATGTCCTTGTATTACTGGATTTTACGAAGATGAAAATTAAAATTGCTAAAGTAATTGTTTATTATAATTAATTAAGGATGCCATATAAAATGTTACGATTGCATAAATTCAAGTGAAATTTGTACCAGTTGCAATTATAAAGTCAACTCTAATAGAAATTCTTTATCACAATAATGTAATTGTAAAGAAGGATATTATGATGATGTGACATAAATTTAATGTTAAAAGTGCAATAATAAATGTAAAAAATGTTTAAATGATTCAATTAATTGTTCTATTTGTAACAATAATTTAAGATCTAATCCTCCTGTTTGCAATTGTATAGATGGATATTTTGAAGATGAATAATAAACATGTTAACGTAAATATAATATTAATAATTGAGCATGCTATCATTAATGTAGTACTTGTGATACTAATCAAAATAATTGTTTATCTTGTAAACCAGATAGATTTGGACCAAATTGTGAATGTTCAGATGGATATTATGAAGCTGGATTAATTAATTGTTTAAGTAATTGTTTTTTCTATTTTGTAGAATGTTAATTTCAATGTAAAACTTGTTCTTATGATGCAAATTTATGTATCACATGTAAAGCAGATAGAATTTAAACTCCTATTTGTAAATGTCCAAATGGTAAATATGATGATTATACCAATGAAACTTGTTAAGATTGTCACTATACTTGCAATGAATGTAATATTGATGGATGTATCTCTTGTGCTGGAAATAGGATCTTATCTTAAGAAAATACATGTGATTCTCCATTTGGATCTATTTCTTATGAAAATACTCCATGGTGTTCTAGTATATCATTAATCTTAATATTAAGGTTGCACTGTTGCTGTTTTGCGTATTTATTTCTCAGATGATCTCGAGAGTCTCATTATTTTATTTGATTTTCCTTTAAATTCCAAATTATTTCAGTCTTACTAATTATCAAATAAATGCTTTTAAATCTTTGATATAACATCAATTGATAAATTTGGAAGAAATCCTAATTGTTACATAAATCCTGATCAAAACTCAGAATTAATTATATCCTTAGGAGATTATCCTAATATTAATTTAGGGGATCAATTATTATTCCAAAAAAATTCTCTCTCTCACAATTCTTGTGAATAACCATTATCTACATTTGTTAACAATAATATTTAACCTCCTAAGAATTATCTTATTCCATAAATACAATTTGATGTACCCTAATATAAAATTAATCCTTGTGTTGAAATTCAAATATATTAAAATAATCGAAAATATGATGGAAAAAGAAGTCTAATTAATGCATTTTGGTCATATACATCATCAAATGGTACCAATTTATTAATAGATCATTTCATTTCATAACAAAATATTTAATAAGATTTTAATTTAATTATTCCTTCTAATACCTTACCAATTAATTCCAAAATTACTTTTTTCATTTCATTTTAAAACTTTTTAACAACCTCTTCAGAATAACATTTCATTATTACTACTCATTCTGGAGATTCACCAACAATTACATTAAATATTAAAAAATAATATTTCACATTTGAAAAAATTTCATTAAATTTTCAAATATAAACAATTTTATGTTTTAACAACATTAATTCAACTCCCGAACATTATATTTATGCAGTTGAACTATTTTAATTACAAAACATTTCAAAATAAGCATCTGAATCAGAAGTAATTTATAATGTTACTTCACTTTAAGAATCGCATTCTATTATAATACCTTAATATAAATTATCCCCTAATTTTTATTATACTTTTTAATTAAATGTCACTAATTAAATTTCAAAACATAATTAAATTTAAAATTTTACTATCTAAATTATGTCTGCAGGAATTTTATGTTAATTTAAAGAATCTTTAAATGTTTAATATTTTGCCAAAGATATGAATTTAGTTATATAATGTAAAGATTTGGATACTAATTTTAATTGGAATCAAGATCCTGATCTATTTACAGAGATTTAATGTTTTGAATTAACAAAAAATTAAAAATGTCAAAATATTCATAATGCTGTCATACCAGTAAATAAAACAGAAAGATTATAATACATAAAAAAATTTAGTATTGAGCCTTTTTCAATTCAAGAATGGTCTCTTAAAGTAACCAAAAAAAATACAGAATAAAATTTTAAAGAGGTAATAGTTTTTTTAGAATATGATTTTGAGATATAAAAAATAGAATTTAATAGTGGTTATCAGATGAGAGATATTAATAATTTTGAATTACTTAATTTTACATTTTCTTTTAATGAATAACAATATTAAAAATTGATAGATTATTCTGTTGGAATTATTTATGACTATCAGATTATCAAAATTATATCACCAACTTTCGTAGAATTTAAATTTAAGTTATTTGAATGTAAGTTATTTGAATGTATCAATTAAATGAATAGAGGTAATGAAATTAACTTAAGATTTAATGCTTAATTTAGTGACAATATTATGCCTAATCTGTTCAATTTAAAAATAAATATTAATTAACCTGTTCCTTGTTAAAAATTATTAATTAACTAAATAAATCTCGAATATACAATTACAGCCATTTGTGAATATTCAAACTCAATTCCATATTATTATTAGTTAAAATATTTCTATCTAGAATCTGATTACAATCTATTTTTAAAGAGTGAATCTGATAATTCTATCACATTTTAATCCTTCTAAAAATCAAATAAATTCACATTATAATTACCAACTTCTATGAATTCATCAAATATTAATGTTTTAGTTTAAGTTATGAATTCAGGAGGATCGATTACTAGCATTTATTAAAAATTCTCGATAAAAAAATAAGCACTGAATTGTACATAATATTTTAATTTGTCATAAAGTGTTAAATTTTAAATCTATCTACTATTTGAAGGTTACAATAATGACTGTTTAGATTTATCCGAAAAAGTTTTAGAAAATTTAAAACAAATGATTTATATTACTAAAAATGCAGAAAGATAAATTATTTTATCAACAATTAAATTATTTAATAAAATATAATCATTAAAACAACTAAACAAATCATAAACTAGATTGATGCAAGAATAATAGGGATTAGAAGAATGCTATGATTAAAAATAATATCATTTTATTGTTTATGGTGGCAACAAAGAATAAAATGTAACTTAAAACCAAGAAAAAAATAAAATTGTCAAAGATGTATCTTAAATTGAAAATTTAATATTTTAATAATTACTAAATATCAAATCTATTGTTGAGCAAATAAATTTAAATCAAATATTTTGGGATCATTAATTGGAACAAGAGAAAGAATTTTTAATTGATTCTTTATTCTCTTCCTTATTCTTGATTGATGATATTTTTTTAACAATATCATTTATCAAATTTCCAGATTTAGAAATGTTCAATTAAAGTATGTTATTGATTGATTAAATAAATATTATTTCTTCAGTTATTTAATAGAATGTTATAGTTGATGGTATTCATTAAAAATTTGAAGGAGTTTTATTTAATTTAACTTTAAAAAGATTTAGCAAAAAACATATGAATGAATTAATTAATATAGAAGCAAATTACTTTGATTATTTAGTTTACTTCTGCTAATTGCAATAAATGAATCTTATTCAGAATCCATATTTATTTTAATCTAATTTTACTTTTCTATCATAGAATAATTTAAATACTTAACAAATTAAGATGGCATAATAACCTATGAAAAAAGTTTCCTTAAAAAACTTTTTTAAAGAGAAACCTTATATAATTATAGAATAAATCAACAATTATATAATAAATTTTAATAATTACTCATTATGTGAAGTTGGTTTGAGTGTAAAGGAAATTTTTGATCCTATTTGTATAATGAAAACTATATAGAATGAAATATAGAATTGTACACTTATTTAAGAATATGATAAATCTTTAAATTAGGTTTCAATATCATGTTAATGCAGTTATTTAGGAGAGGTTCTTTTATTAAGATCAATTATAAGCTAAAACTTAGATTAAGATCAAAATACTTCAATAAGTTAGTTAAAGCCAACCACTCAACTTAGTTTAATTTTTACTGATGCTATGTTTATTATTATTAATTTTTATTGCCTAAGTATTTTAGTAACTTATTTTTATTGTTTGTATAAAGAAATAAAAAGTCAAAAATAAGGTTTAACAATTTAATAATGTGAAATAAACACTTGTAGAAGTAAATAAACTATTCATTTATATCCTGGGAATGTTCATGTTTTTGCTAAATAATTCAAAGTATCTGTATTTATAATTTTTAGTATTTACATTAAATTACAGCACTTTGTTATTAAATCAATCATATGAAATTAAGTGCTGGAGTTTTATGTTTCTTTTCTTTAATAAGCTTCACATTTCTACTTCTAGAACTAGAATTTTTAATTTTATAAATTAATCTTGGTTGGATATATGGACTAATTATTCTAATTAATTGCATCTTTTTCGAAATTTTTAGGGGGATACTTAAAATAATTAGATCTATATCCCAATTTGGTAGAATTATCAATATAATTTTTCAACTGATTTAACTATTAATGCTTTTATCTCCATTAATTGGATATATTATTATGTATAAGTAATATTTAAAAAATAAATTTAAGATCTTAAACTGAATGGAATTTAACATTGTTAATAATTAACTATTTAAGTAGTTTAATAATAATCCTTATAATTTTAGATCCTATTATTGTTTTTATAAGAATATATATTTATAAACTGATCCTCCCAAGCATAAAAAATAATGAATTAAACCCATTCTATCATTTGCTTTACTTTTTTGTATATCATGAAACTTTAGAAATAGAATTTTCCTAATATTAGTTATTTTGAAATTAAAATATATAAAAAATATAAAGTAATTAAATAAAATATAAAGATAATTATTTATTTTAATAAATATTTGTCATAATAACAAATACTCAAATATTTTCAAATTATTCATTTCTCTCTCTAAATCAAAATATTATAATTGTGTCAAATATTTCATCCAACTTATAATGCTGAATGAAAAAATAGATAAAATGATGCATAGGATTAAGGAGTTTATTTTTAATACTAGCTATTATCTATTTGTATAAAAGGATTCTAACAAAAACTGTTATAGGATCATATATTAAATAAGTTAAAATTATTATTCCTCCTAAAATCAAGCATATCTATATATTTATATAAGTCGAGTTTTAAGTACTATAATAATTAAGATTAGAAAATACCTATTTATTAATGAAAATATGAATAACACATAAGTAAAGACTTATAGTAAAATCATAATTAAGATGATAAACATAGCTATTTTTCCACCAAATCTATAGGCTGCCTAAAATAACTTAAATATAATTCTCATTATTAAGATGATCGAAAAATTGATGAAAAATACCATGTTTAAAATTATTGTATCAGAAAATAAGTTTATTGAACATATAGCCATAGGTATCAGAAAGCTAAGTTCTGTGAAAAATTGTAAACATCTATAACTTTTTTTTATTATCTCATCATCACAATAAAATATAGAAAAAAATTGATGGATGTACTTAAAAATAGAACAAATATTTTACTTTAAAGTTATCCTTAAAAATAAGCAAATCACCTGGATAACATCTCAAAGGCTCCTTTTTCTCAATTTTACTGAAGTCATCCGAACTCATAATATTTCCATACTATTATTTACTTTTCATTTCCACAATAAGTAATTAATAGTAAACTAAAATTGAAAAACAAATTAATATGCTTTGAACTAAAATAAATGGTTATTCAAAAATAAATAATTATTTCTTTGCTATCTCTGGAATTTCTATTGAATTATTCGATTTATTTTAAACATTTATTTCAATAATGGGTTTTTTAATTAAAAAAATCTTCCCAAATTATTTGCAACTACATAATATCCTAATAGTAGAATTCTCTTGAATTTTATTTAAATCACAAATTTCAAAATAACCGTTAATGGATTATTAAACACATGAAAATTCATAAACATCTTTTTTATCATATTTAAACTTTTCGTCACAATATGTCATATTTAATAATTATACATTATATTTCACTGTGAAATTTTCTTAATTCACATATCTATATAAGTTTTTATAATTTCTCAAATTTACTTCTAGCAATTTACTTTAATCTATTTAGTGATAGGATTTATTTAATTTTGTTTACAAATCAGTTAAATAATTAGATGATAAATTATAGAAATTAAAAGCTATCGTTATTTATATCTTTTCAATAAATGCAATAAAATGATCCGTGAAGGCTGATTCTAAATTAGCCAACTTGTTGAAGGTCTTCTTTGATAATCTAATTAGTTTCCATTATAAAATATTTCCATCAACTTTAAGTTCATTTCCATCAACTTAAGCTTAAACATTTATTTAATCAGAAATTGTATTAAGTAGTTTTAGTAATTGAGATCCAATATTAAATAATTATAGATTTGAATTATCATCAGTTTGTATTATTTTTGATAATATTGAAAATGCATCATCTAAGAGAAGTATTGAAACTTACAATGAATTCAAAATTATTTATCTTCGTTAAGATAGAGATTCTAATAAAAATAAAGGATCCTCAATTATTTCTAATTCTACTTAAAATTTATCCTTAATTAGATTAGAAACTTAGTTTTACAATTAATTGACTTTTGTTTATAAATAAGTATAGTTATATTGTTCTTCATCATATTAGAGGAGAAGTTATTCATTTAATAAATATTAATTAGTAATAATGAATTTCGAGTTTTAAAGATCATAACATTATTAATATAAAGATTCCGACAGTATTCTTTAAACTTATATTTTAGAAATAATTTATAAGGAAAGTCGAGTATAAATTTTAATGAATTGATAAGCTAATTCTTAATCTTAAAATGTATATATTGAAATCTACTCTTTAATAAGGGTAAGTATTTTATTTGAAATATTAAGGCAAATCTATTTTTAATGGTGATTGAGAATTATTTCTAAAGCTAAAGTTACTTGATATCGTAGATTAGCATTTTTATAGAAGATTGTAGAACAATTCAAATCAATTTTATCCATTTTAATTTCTTTTTCGATATTTTTTATTGATCCATCAGAATCCATAATTTATACTATTACATAGATTTAAGAGTAGGGTAATAAAATTTGAAATTTATTGGAGCTCTAAAATGAATTTAATACAAGTGAAAAATCAGATAGTCTTTTTTAATAATCTATATAGTCTTATTCATTAAGCAATATTCTAAGTTGATATTTAAATGGATTGTCAATAGAAAATAAACAATTGGAAATAACATTGATAAAAGTTAAAGGTTAATTATTTTTAGAATCAATATTAATTATACATTATGGAGGTTAATTTAAAGTTATTTTTAAATTATGTTATGCTGGCATAATACTATTTATAAATTGAACTAAAAATTTAAAATTAATGTTGTTTCCTTAATTGAATTATTCATAATGATCAAACAATCTAAATTGATATGAATAGCAACCTGGTTATAAAATTGCCAAAACTTCAAAATCATATATAATTGCAATACTGTATTCTAGAATCATTGGTTAATCTGCAATTGAAATTAGATAAGTGAAATTAAGTTATTCATAATTATTTATTGGTCTCATTAAATATCCTTAACTATAATTCATATTTAAATCTTTGAAATTGTCTTCTAAATATACAATGATTTATTCAAAGGTTTAATTAGATCCATTTTTAAACGCCGTTACTTTCCATGATTAAACTGTATATGGTTTAATTGAATATTTAAAAATATTTTATTCAAAATCTGTTTTATTAACTTTTATTTTTTAAGACTTAATATCTAAACAAATATTATTAGTGGTTAAATCCACACATGCAACATTAATAGTTAATTCAGGGTCTTAATTAGCTAAATAATTAGAATCTAGATCTTGACATTCAATTAGCATTTTTAAATCTTTTTAATAATCTTAAACTGGTTAGACCCGATTAAATTTACATAAGAATCCTGCAGGAATAATTTCTATAATAGTTTAGAATGATGAAAAATAATTAGTTAATGTATCAGTGACATTCAGTTAAAAAGTATATAAAGCTTTTGGAGTTAATTTATAAGATGGGATTTTAATCTTATACTCAATTTAACTAGAAACTGTTTAATAGTTGAGTTCTGAAGGTGAACCAAATGTTCTGAATTATTCATATAAACTTATTTAATAATTAGAATTTTGAATAATTTTGGTGAGACAATTGATTTTCGATATAGTGAAAATTAAGTTGATGACTTAGAATGTATAGAATTATTTTTTAACATTAAATCTAACAGTAGGATCAGATCCAGAGTGAGTTGATAATTTAATAAGTGATTAAGATTATTAACCAACAAAATTGGAATATCTAACAATAAATGTAATATTAGATTAAATTGGTAATGTAGATGCATCTAAATTAAGATCAATTAATTGAAAGCTTGTTTATGATTATATAAAATTATCTAGGTTTCCAGTACCAAAAGATCCTTCTACTTAATAAGTCCAGATAATATTTCTTAATCCTCTAAGTCCATCATTAGATTATGATTATCGAGATATAATATTATCATCACAAGGATTTAATGAAACTTCAGGTACATTGTATTCTAAAATAGGTGAAACAGGATTTTAGGGTGGATTAACATTTGTTAGAATAAACATCTACAATTTAGAGTTACAGTTCAATTAAGTTAAAGTATTAGGAATAAATTCTATTGAATCTCCTTCAATAATAGTTGGATTGTCACCAAAATATAAATACAGAAGTTTAGTATCAATATCATCAATTTTACATTTAGGGTTGAGTCCTAATTAATTTAAAGTTATATTTGATAAGATTTAATAACAAACATTCTGCTAAATTTAACTAGATAAACTTTAATCATTTAATGGGAAATCAAATTAAACAATTAAATATTTTAGATCATCCGAAATTCTTATATTAAGTACAGCAATTTCACAAGCTAATAAATAGACAATTAATTACTTGAACACCAAGGAGTTATATCATTACAAATAGAATGTTATGGAGGATCACAAGTAAGTTCATTAGATAAAATTCTATTACCTGCACATGTAATACAACCATTTAAATCACATGTTTGACATAGAGAATTGCATTCTTAGCAATCATCATTTATTAAATCATCAAAAAAACCTTATGGACATGAACAATTTGGAGGATTTATACGATCTCCTTTACATGTTAAACAATTTTAAGATGTTTAATTACATGTATTACATTATAAATCACATTCTAAATAATAATTTGATTATTTACTTAAACATAACTATAATCCAGCCTCAAAATAACCATCTTAACAGATACATTAAACAGTTATTCTACCAGGCTTACAAGTTAAACAGTTTTATGGTTTTGTTATACAGGTACCACATTCATTATTACATGCTAATATATTATATATTAAATATATAAATACGTTAACATGTTTATTACTCATCTTCAAAATAACCATCTAAACAAAAACAATCTGGTGGATTAAATCTTAAACTATCTATACATTATAGACAAAATGTAGATGTATTTTAACATGTTTTGCATTTCGCATTACATATTTAACAAATTAATTGAATTCCATCATCATAATAACCACTTTTACAATCACAATTTTATGATAATGATAATCTATTGTTTCCTATTAAGAATTTACAACTTAGACATTGATCATTTTGATTAATACATGAGGCACATTTAATGTTACATTCTATTATATCTAATTCAATCATACTTTAACAAATCTTATCTTGATCAGAATAAAATCCTGTAATACATGGACATCTATAAATTGCAGATTAATCTATTCTTTTTTAATTCACATCACAACTTGTACAATGATTTTCAGATCCACTACATGTAAGACACTCATTTGAACATTCTTATCATTTTATAATATTTACTCTAACATAATAAACTTCCATTATCAAAATATCCATTTTAGCAAATACATTAATTATTAACCAGAACTCGAATATGTTCATCTTGATAACATGAATTACAGTTGAATGATGATATCTAACATGTTTTACAAACACCATTGCATTTTTAACACATTGATATTCCAACATCATAATATCCATCCAAACATATACATTAATTATTATTTAAAATTCTATTGTATAGGATTGTATCACAACTCGTACAATGCTTTGAAGATGTAATACAACTTTAACATGATAAATCACATTCTAATATAATTTTATTAGTATTTTACATTAACATTTATAAAGATTTACTTCAAAATAACCATTTTGACATGGACATTTTAAATTCTAATCATCAAAATATCGAGTTTCTTAATCACATTCTGTGCATTTATTTTAAGAACTGCATTCCTTACATGTAAAATTGCAAGCTTTAATATTTTAGATATAAATACCTTCACATAATTTTGAAGTTGCATTATAAAAATATGCTGATTTACAAACACAATGATTTTATTATTTATCATAATGAAGAACTTCATCACAAGAAGTACAATTGTTAGGTAAAAATTCACAAGTTTTACAAGAATTATCACATTTATTGCATGATAAAGTTACAGAATTTTCGAAATATCCATCAAAACAAACACATATATTTCCAGGTTTCATAATTCGAAAATCAGGACTAGAACAAGTTTTACATTATGTTTCTAAATATGCACACGTCAAACAAGTTTTGTGACAAAAATGACATTTATTATCAATACTAGATTCATAAGTTCCATCTATACAAATACATTAATTATTAATTAGTTATCTTATTGATTCACAAGATGTACAAAATGAAGTAGAATTTGAACATGTTTAACATTAAGAATCACAGTATTAACAGATTCCATTAATTTCAATAGTGCCATTTTAGCATATACAAGTTTTATTGATAGTATTTAAAATTCTTTTTTAAGTAGAATCACAAGAAATGCAATTAGTTGATGTTGTTTAGCAAGTTAAGCAATTAGAATTACATAGATTACATTTTTAAGTGCCAATGTCATAATATCCATTATCACAAACACAACTTTATCCAACTAAGTGTCTGGTTGAAGGACAATTTAAACATTAATAAGAAAATGTTTGACATGTTAAACATTGAGTTTAACATTGCTTACAATTGATTGATGATCCATCATCATAATATCCAGATAGACAATTACATGTTTTATTATAAAATACTCTAAATGAAGTACTAACTATAGGACATGTTTTGCAAGAGTTAGATCCTGATGCATTGCAAGATAAACAAGAATAATGACATTATTTACAAATTTCAACTCCATCATCATAATATCCTTGTATACAATTACATGATAATAAACTGCTATCTAAAATTCTTTTAGAAACATCAGAACAGAGTTCACAATTGGTTGAACTGCCCATACATTTAAAACAAGAGTAATGGCATTCTATAATGACATGATAATAATAATGTACTTTGACATATAGAATTAATTCCATCATCATAATAGCCATTTGGACAATTACATAACTTTAATAATGCATTATATTATCTAAGACTAGAAGGATGACAACTTAAACAATAATCATCTTTTAATTCACAGGTTTCACATTTGTAACTACATTCTGAGAAATATAAAAGAAAATGATACGTAAACATTGTGTTGAACCAAAATCAAAATAATTAGTTTTACATGGACAAGTATTTCCATTTAATACTCTATTTTCAGATTCTAGACAGGATTTACAATTAGAAGAAGAAAAGCCATCACAAGTCAAACAGGAATAATGACAACTTGAACAAGAAGTTTGAGTAGAGAATTAGTAAGTACTAATTTAAACTCCATTTAATTTAGTTTTGCATAAACAGGTATTGGAATTATGTAAAAATCTATCTGGTTTGCAAGAAGTACATTGATCAGCACTTTGATAGCAATTTAAACAAAATTTACTACAAACTAAAGATAATAAGATAATAAACTTTGACACTCTGCAGTTCCAATGTCATAATATTAATTTTTACATTCACATTCTCCATTGATATTTAATTGTCTTTATTATAGATCACTACATGATGTACATTAATTCGATTGAAATCCTGAGCAGGAAGAACAAGTAGAATGACATACTAGAATGTGGATTAAAATATTTACTTTGACAAATGGGATTTGGTGCAATGTCTATAAGATTAGATGGACATTAACAAGATTTATCAGTTCCTAATTCTCTAAATGAGAATTCTGGACAAGAAATACATTAATTGACATCAACTTATGTACAATCTGCACAACGATATGAACATTCTGATAAAAGGTATATAGTTAACAATTACTTTCACACAAAGCTTAAGTGCCATTATAATCAGATGTACCTTATTTGCATGGACATGTATTTCCTAAGATTGTCCGATTAAGATCAGCTGAACAAGTAATACAATTATCTGCATTCTTATCATAACAATTTTAACAAGTGAAATGACATTAAGAACATTATAATTATCCAACTTCATAATATCCAGTTGGACATTCGCATTTAGAAAATACGAATTATCTATAAGTTAAATCACAAGTTAAACAATTAGTTTAATCATATCCATTACAAGTCTTACATGAATAATGACACTAACTGCAAATCAAACTCTAACCATCATCGAAAGTATTAGCATCTGCACATAAGCATTTAAATGTAGATGCAATTACATCTGGAATTCTTGATGGAGGACAAGCAATACATTAATCAATGTTAGAACTATTTTAACAATTAAAACAAGAATAATGACATCCTATAAATATTTTGAAATATAATTTTACTTTTACAATCTCTACTATTGATACCCTCATCATAATAATTATCCTTACATTTGCATTCATTTGTAGAACTCAAATATCTATTTGAAGAATCTAAACACATATTACAATCATTAGGTTAATCACCTACACAACTTCCACAAGTATAATAACATTCTATTATATTATAACAATTCTTACAAAAACATATATCAGCAATTCCATTATTATCACCATAAGTTTTAATGCAATCACATTTAAATACATCTGTCAACATCCTCTTTTGTCCTGTAATACAAAGTGTACAATATTAATTAGATGTACTATCTTATGGTTTTGAACATTTTTCACATCTTGGATGACAAGCTATTTTAATATTTCTACATTAAAAACCTAAACAAAGTAAGACTCCATTTACTAATGTTTCTATATATCCTCTCTTGCATAAACACTATCCTTAAAACAAATATCTATTCTTTAGACTATCACATTCAGTACAATCATTTTTAGTTGGATTTTCACAATTATAACATGTTTGATGACATTCTATAATTTTATTATCTACATCATACTCAAACATATCTTATCATCTAAATCAGTTTCATAATATCCTTATAAACATGGACAACTCTAATCTACAAGAACTCTATTCTTTGTTGCATCACATGATGTACATTCAAAAAAATTAAATGTACAGGTTTTACAAAACCCTTCTGTGCATAAAACACAAGAACCATATTTTTCAGCATAATTTTGTGACTATGCACAAACACAATTACCATCTCCAGTAGAAACTCTTTTAAAATTTATGTAATCACAAGTTGTACAATATTTAGGATTAGTAGTCAAACAAGTATTACATCTTACATCACATCCATCAAATGCAACACACTTTTTTTAATCATTTAAATAATATCTTGATTAACATGTCTTACATTCACTTCCAGAATTACATAAAAAACATGTCTCCAAACCAGGAACTGTAGAACACACTTTTTTATATACATTTCTTATTTATACATTAACAAATTTGACCATTCTTAAAATATCCAAAATCACATTACAAACAATCTATTCCAATCGGAGAATTATTTGAATTATATACAATACTATATTATTTATTTTTGTACTTACTCAAACTTTATACAATTTGGATCTCCAAAACATCTTCCATTTACTAATCTATAACCATTTATGCAAGAACTACAGATCCCACCTTTGCATTAATTACAATAATCAGTACATTCTTTTTTTATTTTATTTTATTTTACTTAAACAAATTATTTTTAACCCTTAAAGTATTTATTCATACCCTATTGAACATCCTAATGTAATATATATATTTGTCAATGGCTCATATCCACAAATAGCATCACCAGTTTTACATTCTCTCTTCTATAATTATTTTCTTACAATAACTGCATCTTGTATCGCTTAAACTACCTTTTGTATATCCATCTAAACAACTTGTACACATATTTAAACTAACATCACAATCTTTACAATTTAATGGACATTCTTATCATATTACTTATTTTTATACATTAATATATTCCACTCTATATACCAGGTAAAAGTGTACCACAAGTCGGTCCAGTCAAATATCCATAACAATATTAACATTTTAATACTGTTGTATAATTTTATGCTAAAAGGCAAAACCCATTATTTGTTTCTATATACTATCATTTCCCAATTTTACATTAACATGAGTATGTCACTTCTCCATTCTAATTATATTAATATGTTGTTGTAAAAGGGGATGCACACCTAAGAATAAAGTTATTTGAAGATAAAGGCAATAAATTAAAGGCTTAAAATCTAGGATGACATAGCACTTCCTAATTATCCTATATCTTTATAGTCACTGATGTAACACCTTAACAAATTGGAATATACCCTCCTTAATCAATATAAATACCAACGCATGTATGAGGTATTAAGTCTGGTTGATAATAGTGATATTGTGGACAACTGAAGTTTGAGTTTGCTTTTGTAAAATTTGCTGCAAAACTACGAAAACCAAAACAAGGTTGAATTAGTAAAATTATAGGGAAGAAAGCTAACATTTGATAATTAATAATAATAAAGGATTTGATTCAATATATTTACGTTTTTTAAAAATTCAAGTCCCTTAATTAACTCTATGCTAAAGCAGAACTAAAAATAAACGATTATTTCCATTTTTACAAGCTTTAAGTGTAATAGTTCCACATACGCTTCTCATTAAATTTCATTTATCATTACTTCATTAATTAGACATTAATGATATCTAACACTCTATTTCTCTCCTAATTTCTTAAGAATTTTTATTTTATATTATTGTGATTCATTCCTAGAATTAGATCAAATAATTTATTCTTTATACTATCATTTAGTGACAATAAAATGAATTTTAATTAATAATAAATCTATTATTTGTGAAAAATTATTTAAATATTATATTTTTTTCTATTGTTTAATCGCTATACTTTTAATTTATATCTCTTAATATTTAATTTTAAGTTTACGATGGTAAAATGCCTTTTTAAACTAAATTTAATCAAAAAAAATCCAATAGAAGCCTTAATTTATATTTTATAAAAAAGTCAGAATAATTACTTAATTTTATTTATAACTTTAATTAAGAGAATCATTAAACTCGGAAATTTAATTATATTAAAAATATATTTCAAAATATATGCCAAATTGACTTTAAAAGAACAATTTTAGAATTATTTCTGAATCAATCCAATAAATAAGATCAATAAAAATTTAATTTAACTGAGGAATAAAATTTAATAAGAATTTTATTGAGAAAACAAAATTTATATGTTTATATGAATTTTAATTAAATTTTACATTCAAGATCGAAGTCTCCTGTTCGCTCAATCCCAAGAACTTGTCATGTATCATATTTCAAAGTTAAGGAATAAAGACGTAGCCTCTATAAAAAAGAATCTTTCTTTTAATTAGAAGCAAGTTTTTTAAAATTACGATCATAATTACTTAAATTTGCATTTATTCAGATTTATGAAAAACTTGCTGTTGATGTTAAGAAAATGAAATTAATTTCAGAATACTAAAATTGGAAAATATTATCGAAGACTTTGTGTAAGTGGAATAAATTATATAAATATAACAAAATGAGCTAGTCGTTAATTTCTTCTCCAACTTTTAGCAATAGTTTGAAATCTCCAAAATATTCAATTAGTGAATTTAGGCCCTCTTCAACAGCCAAAAAATAACCAACCCAGAAAATAAAAAAAGTATGGAATACTTTAGTGAAAATTCAAAGAAATAATAAACGAATAATATTTACTTTATATAAAATATTTTAGATATAAAAATCAAAAAAGAAAGCCATTTTGTATAAATGGTATAAGAGAACTTATAAAAGATTACTATTAAATGTAAAATTATGCAAATTGGTGGCAATATTGAATAAATAAATTACAAAATATCTAAAAGCTTTTTGATAATAACATCAATGAATAACTTTATTAAATATTTAGCTGAATATAAAAATGACTAAAATAATAATCAAAATAGATTTTCAGATTTCAACTTCTTTATTCTATTTAATAGGATCAGATGAAATATCATAAGCATAACAATATAATTAGTTGTCTGTTCTTGTCTAGCATTATAAACTAGTTTCATTAAATGAACAAAATGGTTTTAATTAACAAGGTAATTTCTCTTTAAAATCATAACACCTAATTTATTATATTTCAATTAAATACATAATATTCCTGCAAACTTCATTATCCCAAACGCATTAATTTGTTTCTAAGCAAGTTTAATTAGTTGTAAAATATGAGCATTAAGTACATTCGCCAAAATGTTAAAAACATCTTCTTCCATTCACAAAATTTTTACATGATGCAAATTAATTGAATTTACAATCTTTTGCTCTACATTCATATTAATCAAATATATCTCCAAAATAAAAATACTATTTTTCTTTATATGAGGCTTTACCATTAATTACTAATTAACATCTATGAATAAGTTAGATTACTTACTATTCTTATAATCTTGAATTTCTGCATTACATAAAATCATTAATCTCACTACATTTTGATATTGTTATGCATTTATTATGTTTCCAAGTGCAGGCTAACTTATTTTCCTTAATAGCAACACATGAAGCATATGAAATAAAGTCCTCACAATTAATACCTTATCTTTATCTTTAAATTTATAGAATTATTTTTACATTAATTTTTCCTAACAACGATTTTCGTTCCAGCCGCATTGATCTTATTTTTAACATTCATCTTGGTTATCATAATAAATGCAATTTGCCATCAATAATTTACACTAATTAGTTTTTAGACTCCATTAACAGGTCACCACACGTTGATAAACAGATTCACATGAAATAGGATCATGAAGGTCATCACATGTTAACTATTTCGTTAAACAAGCTTAAGTAAATGAAATAATTATTGAAATCAAAATAATCCAATTCATAATATTTCTAATTAAGAAATCCAGAACTTATATTTATTCTATAAATGAATCATTATTGATTTTAATATTCCACATTGCTACTACTTGATTTAAAATATTTATTCTTTCTTTTTATACTATAATTTCACTGTATATTTTATATTTTTTCTTATTTTAACATCTCTCATTAAATAAATACCTATTTATCAATCCAATAATTATAGTAATTATAGTTAACATTAAAACAAACCAAAATTTCTTAAATTTATAGTGATGATATCAATAACTAGAATTTCCATTTTTTTTACTTATGTCTAATATTTATTAACTATCTAAATGTAATAATAACACATATATTAGATATTATTTCATATTTTTTTGGACCCTTTAACTTTTTTGATTTAATCTTATTAAAAATCTTCTGAAGAACTCCCCTAAGAATTTTCTACAACATCGCTAATAATAACTTTCACAAATACTCTTTTTTATATCCATAATGTTTCTTTTTCTTCATTCTTCTTGGCCTAAATTATGGACTTTTGGGGCTTTTAGGCTCTTCAGCCACAGTCTCTGTAATTTAATACTTAATCTTAATATTAATTATTACAAAAGGTGATGTTTTGCTGCTTTATGAAAATATACGATCATTGGCATTGGCTTTAGTTTTTCTTGGAACATTCCCATTTAATTTCCCACTTTTTATTGCTGTATATCCTTCCCATCCCTTGATTACATTTCCTGTTGCAGCTGTTTCTTCTAAATATTTGGTTTCCAAATCAAATATTTGTTTCTCTAAAATTTTTAACTCATTTTCAAGGCTTTGCCTTTTATCAGTTAATTCTTAAAACTTTTTTTCACTCATTCTTTGAAGCAAATAATTATAAAATAAATATTTACAATAAATGCAAAAATAAATTACAAACTTTAGTTTGATTATTTCATTCTTATATTTCTTAGATTATCTAGATTGATAATGTTATCAAAAATAGCTACTCATATAAATTTTTAAGTAAATTAATTATAAAATTCCTTTAAATACAACTTATTGAAATTATATGTTATTTTATTTAAGTCATAATATATAATACCTAAGTATAAATCATTTATTATAATAATAATTGAAGATGTAAATGAGATATCCCTATGAACCCGAATCTCTTATAAAAAAATCTGATTTAAAAATGAATTACCATCATTTTCACTCTCCAAGCTTACCATTGTTAATTCCTTAGCAGCTTAGCCCGATAAAAGAAAAAGCACCATTTTTAAGCAAAATGGGAGAATAAATTCTTAAGTATTGGGGATTTTCTCCTGATATTGCTCCTACAACAAGAAAAGAAATATTTACAGAACATATAAAATCAGAGAAAAAGTATAAAGATAAATTTGATGATCTTTTATATAATCTAAATACTGAAAGGCCAAAATATCAGGAGAATGATTATTTCAAAAATGATTTTAATCTTAAAAAGTCTGTACATTTCAACAGTGTAGTTACAGTAAAGGATATAGAAGGCCAAGTTTCGTAAAAAGAAATAAAATTATTTTCAAGGAATAAGAGAAGGCAAAGAACTAAACTCGAAAATTAGACTATCATTAGTTGATCTTACTTTAATTAATTGATGCTAATATTTCAATATGTATATTAAAATTATATAATTTGACCAAAACTTAGTTCCCTATTTAAGAATTGGTACGTACAAAAAATAAAAATTAATGATCTAATAAATCACATTAAAATTTAAATCTTAAAGTAAACAGAAAATTTAAAAAAATTCTTGATTTCATTTAAAAAACACAAACAATGTATTCAAGGTATCAAAATTTGAATATCAGTTCAAAAAGTATTATATATAACAGGAAGCTTTTCCAAAATAACTTGACTATAAATATTTTAGTTTATTTTTTATTGGTTTGTATTAATAAAAGAATTAAAATCAAAGCTATTACTGTTATTCTTAATAAATGTTATTGGGATAGTTTTTTTGCAATTTCTTTTTAGTATAAAAGGAAAGAAATTTATATATTTACCTTTTTTTTAAAATTATCTTAAAATATCTAATTGTAGAGCTTCTACCATCCATTAATATTATAATTTTCATTATCAATTTCTTTGGTTTTGTATTAAGCAGAAAAATCAATATATTAATAAACTATTGTAAATTGAAGAAATAATCGTTTCTTTGTTTAAAGTTGATATAATTGTAAGTTAATAATCCCCTAAGAACTTTTAAGCTTAATTTTAAATTAGAAGAACCGAAAGAATATGTTTCAATATTTTTTCCATCTTATTGGGCCTAAATCAATAAAAATTATGGTCTATGTCCATTCAATTAAGAAACATTTTAGACAAGAAATTTTAAAGAATAGAGATTGAATATTAAATTGAACAATGAATTCATCTGGATTCAAATTAGATAAAATTTAGAGATTAACTTGCTTTTTTTATTTTTGGAATAAATTATAAGTTATCAATTGAATAAGGATACAGCTTACGACACAAACTGTGTAAAATAAGTTTAATTTCTATTCCAAATATCATCAAACAATGAAAATGGTTGGGTAATAAAATGAAATTCCATTTAGACACTCATAATATTTGTGCTATCTAATTCATACAGTTTAAGATCATTTAATTTTGCAAACAAACTGAGACTCTAACATAGTTTTTAATTTCTTTATTTTTATCCATTCAAATTCCCGATTAATACTATTTATTATTTATTATTTGTAATTGGTAAAGCCTAATATATATCATGAACTTGGTCCATTTAGTCATAACAGCCGCAAATATTAACAACTATCAATATTAAATCTGCAACATTTGAATAAAATTAAACTAGTCCCAAAGGTTTTCCATCCCATTCTATTGATTATACCTCATAAACTCTGTGTTATGCTACTTTCGCTAACTTAACTTAAAAATGAATATCTTATGGATAAAATTCTCTATGAAATTGTCCATAAGTGAGAGCGTCGATTAAACTACTTTTTCCAACCCTATTCGGCCCTAAAACTAGCATTACTTGTGACATCAGAATTAAACAAAAAGTATATTTAAATTATATAATTAATCACTTATAGTATTATACTACTCCTACTTTTCAATTTTTTTCCTTCATTATCAATGAAAATGCTTTTATTGTAGATAATCTTAGCAAACCAATTTTAATCTCTATCATTTGAGTTCCACCTCTGAAATAAATGAAAGAGCTGCTAAGATCTAATTTTAATTCTTTATTTATGATACTTAAAACTTTATTAAATAATTCGATTTTATAAATATAATTCTTAATACTAATATAATAAAAATATCTACATTTGTATTCTATTTTAGTAAATATCTGAATCGTAAGAAAATAGAAATTTTAATCAATAATATGAATAAATTCCAAAAAAATTCTATTTTATAATAAGAAATCAATTAAAATATTTGATTGTTGCTAAACCATAAATTTTATGGCAATTTTTTCGCTATATATTTCTCATTTATTATAATCTAGCACATAATTAATTATCTGCATTATTCTGTAAAAAAAGAGAAAAAAATTAAATAAATAAGCTTGTTCGAACTATATTGTTACTCAAATTCTCTTTTGTAAAATTTTTTGAAAAATATAAATCTATCATACTATTAAGAAAATGGAAATTCAACATTTATTTAAAATATATCAATTAAAAATAGTGCAATATCATTAAGATTTTAAAATCTAATCAATTCATGATCCAGGTCAAATAAAAATGGAGCAATACAAAAGGAATAGAATATTATATTTTTAGTAGTTTTCATTAATCTTTTAAAGCTTCAAAAATTGATATTGTTAGAGAATTAAATTATAGAGAAAGAGACCTCAAAAATATAGGTTTAAAAATTTTAATTCTAAGTCAAACCTATTGATAACACTTGATAATTTTTTAAAGTTACAATTGAAAACTCAAGAACCTAAATGATGGAAATCTAGAATTTACTTAAAATAGATTGATTCAGATTAAATAGATAATAAAATTGCATCCAGGAAAATTTTGTATTATTAAAGATTAAGACCTTAGCAATTTTATAATCATGGAGCATTAATTCAGATAGAGATATAACATTTCTTAAGATGATAAATGAAAAACTTAAGCCCAAATATGTCAGTAAGACCAAGATAATTAAAAATATATAATCCCAAATCATTTAATATCTTAGTATTAAAAGTACCTTATTCCAAAAAATGCTTGGAACTCTTAGTTTATAAAATTAATCCTTTTTTAATAGAAATAATTTATTTGAATACAATCAGTATTAATCAGGATAACAACAATATGAAATCAGAATTAAACAAAATTATGTTTCATTTTAAAGGAGCAAAGAGAAGAGAGTAATAGATAATAATAAAAAACAATGTAAATCTTTGTAAAGACACTCACCGGAAAAACAATTACACTTGATGTTGAACCATCTGACACAATTGATGCTGTTAAAGCTAAAATCTAAGACAAGGAAGGAATCCCACCTGATTAATAAAGACTTATTTTTGCTGGAAAATAATTAGAAGATGGAAGAACACTCTCAGACTATAACATTCAAAAGGAATCAACACTTCACTTAGTTTTAAGATTGAGAGGAGGAATGTAAATTTTCGTCAAGACACTCACAGGAAAAACAATTAC